TTTGCTTGGCATTTAATTACCGAAATTTATGACGAAATTAATTAGAAACGAAATTAATCTATATCCGCCATTAATTGCAAAGTTTCGGATACGAAGGGAATTTTATCAATTCATTAGACATTAACAAGATAATCATCATCCGCATCTTGGGATAGACATTCTCCAAGCTAACATTAAAAATCTAGTATCCTACCTATTGTTCAACAGTTAGTAAACATCCCAGAATAAATTTATGGATAGACACAAGGTTGGTTGGTGCCCATCGACTTGTCGCCCAGTTGAGGCTGTGGGCCTGCTTACTGTGGTCATTAATGAATCCAACGTCGAAGTGACAGTACGGAAAGCAACAGCCGGTCGTCTGTGTTTGGGCAACATTGTCTGCATACAAATGACCGCAATTTAATGGCCAACCTCATAAGCATCAATGGCTTCGGCTCGTTTGTATCCTCGGCAGCTGGCCAGGGAGGACAATTTTCAAAAGGAGCGTCGGAGCAAATGCCCGACTGTCAAAGTTATGAAAGGTTGTGCACTATTTTTTGATGATTCGCATTATAAAATTTGAACATGTATGTGCATTTGTGGCCAGTGGCCAGGGAGTGGCCCAAGGACAAACAAGGAACTGATGGGATGCACAGGGGTGGAGCATGTCTCCCTGATTTGTATATTTGTATTTTTGTGTTGATTTTGATGTTCATATAATGTAATTTATGGCATCACATAAAAATCACATGCATGCTCGATCCAGTAACTTGGTGTTGCATGTGCTCCTTAGCTGTGTGCGGAAGGGACATTCGCAAGCCGAATGCCTAACGTTTAGTCTTTATCATTATTTCTATGAATAACTTTGAATATCCACGACAGATAACGAATATTTGAGACTATTTATCATGTCAAAGATGGCAGCCATACTTTCTGGCAATAAAGAAAACTTAGGAAATTATTTCTAATTTGTCATTTGTGACGGCGACGGGTCCGCAAGGCAGCAATCCTTTTTTCCTATGAATGCTGGCGAACACCTCCCGTGTATGCTGAAAATACCGCAAAATATCGTTTGTGTTTATTCGCATAAATCCGTTAACATCCCTGTTGATGGCAAAGGCGTTTCATCGGATAATGTCACTTGATCCACAGAAGCAGCAACAATCGTCGCCATGTATTGCGGGTGTGCAGGGAAAATGGTTTGTAAGGGCGAGCAGCCACCATCCACTTGGAGATATCCCATCAATTGAACTAATATTTTCAAAGAACATCCCATTAACTTTGTCTGCAGAACAGCGGATGGAGTTAACACACAAACGGCTTTAGAAGGGGATTGGGAGGAGGTGTTGCCATATATTTTCAATTTTAGTCGTGTTTTGCGAATGGTGACGCCTCTACAAAACCGCTATGCGCCTTATATACATTCATGTGTACATATGTATGGGGCATTTGAGAAATTCAATATGATCGATTTAAGCAGATGATAATAGACGGAATAACAGAACAGTTCAAACACCATAATTTTAATTATTAAGACTAATCAGAGAATATACATGTTCTACATTGTTTACATACTTTTCAGCCGATTCAATTCTTAAGATGCGAATAAAAAATGATATTAGGGTGGCCAAAATTGATACTGTATTCTCAACATTAGTATATGCCAACTGATGCTCCAGGTCCTTCTAATTTAATGTTCGTATTATCAAGAAAGTGTAGCGAAAATTTTATAACTTGTTCGGCTCCTTAGGTATCATTTTCTAGATTGGGTCATGTCTATTTTCCCACGATTTCCCACGCTCTATAAAAAACCAAGTTCTGCCTCTTTGCGAAAATCCGAAAATCAATCTGGCATCGCCGTAATCGACGACTGTACACACACACACACGTACAGCAATTGTTAAATGTCTACGCAACAACGCCAATAAATATGTGTGAAAAGGAAGAAGAACAACAAAGGTAACGAAATCAAAGGGCAAAGTTGGCACCCCTCTCGTGTGCCGCTTTGCAGACGATTCAAGTGTCAGTTATGGCGGCGAAATATTTACTTTCCGAAATGTATGAGAGCCACTTGTCCCTAATCAAACAATAACGGTTCGCTGGGATTTCAACGCCAAGAACACGATGTCGAGGTGGAACAATTGTACAATTATTAGGTTAAACGATTTCATAGCGAAACATGAATGGATGATATTTTAAAGCGGATTACCCCCAGGGGTGGAGGGCACTAAATGTTCAGTCCGGCTCAATTTAACGGCTTCTTTACTTGTTTATGTTAGTTTCCACCAAAAATGAATATGTTATAGGAGTTTGGGTTCTTCTAACGTTTCCCACTCAACTTCGAAATCCAACGGGGAATGGGTTTTTGGCTTTTTCCCCTGACCATGGTCTTAATTAGTTCAATCTAAGCTTTTCACAAATAAATCATTAAGACTTGACGTCAATACTTGAAGAACTTAAAATCGATAGTTGAGTCGAGTCTAACGAACAAACTGTTTGTACAAATGTTCCAGAGACAAAATATTAATTAGGTAGCGCCCCATTTAAACTTTTTTCAATTAAAGAATGCCCACAACTCTCTGCCAAGAAAAATGCTGATATTTAAGCGGTTTCAAACTGGAATCATTCACCTAAGGAATCGCTGCGATGTTTTTCGCATCGGATCGTATCGCATGGCATTTAATAAAGCTCTCATTGTGCTAATTAAGTGATTGCTATGCTTCCCCTCCGCCCAGCCGTTAGCCATAACAAGACATTCCGCGATCCAGCTATGAATATAGCACTGTCCGCAGGCAAACATGACCACCCAGTCCTTAAGCGGACGATCTCCTCCCTTCGAAGCATTTTTAATAAATTTCCAAAAATGTTTAGCCACAATGCTGCCGTCTTCCGGTCTCATTTAAACTGTTTAAAATGTCAACTTAATGTGCTTAATTAAATGCCAATGGGAGAAGCAATGGCTTCTTTTGTTATGGCCAACAAACGACCTCCACATCTTGCCGTTCGCTAGGCCCGGCGTTCGAACGACAGAACTTCCAATGTCGGCTATCAAAGGAAGGGCAAGAATTATGGCCTGTCTGTGCGTTGGGTATAACGCTTGTGTGTGTATGTGTGTGCGCGTGATGTCACGAGAAATAATTAACAATTTGTTTAAATAAATGAGCAAATAATGTCCACAATAAAGTTTGGCCATAAAGTGCTTTGCGGCGAACTCATCTTTAAAATAGCCATCAACGTTTACAGTTGAACGGAAAGTATTTCAAATGTGATCGACTTAATTGAAGCGAAATTCAAATTAAATTTACTTTATGCTTTCAACAAGCGTCGAACTGCGATTACAACGGAACTAGGAAACTAAAAATTCAAAGGATGGTTTCACGTTATTCAATTAAAAAAAAAAATATTCACCAGAAGTGCCATTTCCGCAACATTGAAATCGTTTAAGGAACCATAATTTATTATCCTGTCTTAGAAGAAGCGTAAATAGAATCCTCGGACTTCCAAATGGAGAAATCCTTATTAATTTGAACAACTCTCCAATAATTCTATGATATGAATTCTGCCAAACCTCAATTCACTGTGGGCGACGACTGTCTGATTCGGTTGGGTTATTTTTTGTTGGGAATTCTGAAGTACAGAGTGAAAATTCTCATTGCAACTGATTGAGTTCGACAGTCGTGTTGGATGAAATTCGTTAAAACGTGTTTGCCTTTTTGTTGCAACTGCTTTGGCAAGTTAATATTTTAAAGTTTTATTAGTCAAAAGCCCACTCTCTGTGCCGCCATACTCATTACTTTGTAATGGGAAGAAGAAGCCCTTTTGCTTTCTAATTTTTGATTGCGATAATCCAAAAATGTCGACATTGCCTTGTGGCGAGGTTTTTAATATTAGCCCACCGTTTATCCTTCAGATCGTTATTTGGCCAAGGGAATTTATTTAAAATTTAGTTGTCTTTGAAAGGGCATAGTCTAGTCAAACACAAAATATTTCTCCAATCGCAGAGTATTGTTTTTCGAAAGTTTCTAAATGATGTACCTTATCTCGAATTACTAAGCCATTGTTTTAATAAGGGCATGTCACTCGAAATAAGCAGTTTTTCTTTGGTTGCTACAGGAAATAACCACTCATTTGGCGACATTTTTGCTTCCAAAGATTAACGGCTCATTTCGATCGATTGTCATTGTCATGAATTAAATTAAGTAGTTAGCAATCTGCTGCGATGGAAGTTCCGAACAACTTTAACCTTCCGATTCCCTTGAAAACGGAATCAATGAATTCATATTTTAAACGGGCGGGTTTTGTTGATCTCTGTCTATTGTCGAACTCACAATGTTCAGCTTTTACTGAGATTTAAATAGCAAGTTCATCCGAAACCCGAATTTTACTATCGACAACTCTGGACGCATTAAATGTTCAATTCAATTTCAGGTAAGAATATGTGGCTAAAAACGAAACGCTAAATGTGTTTCGAAACGCATCTGGAGGCGTCAGAAATTTGCATCGATATAAAGAATACACATTTAACCCAATGCATTGGAAACGCTCACAATTGCTGACCGCTGCTGTTGGCGAATGCAAATGTGGGAAGCAATGTTTGTGACGGAGGTGAATTCGTTTGCATTAGTCAGGATTTAATTAGTTTTTGCCGTTTTTTGCACTGCGTTTTTCTTTTTGTTTTTGTATTTTTTTTTCTCTTTTGTTATTTCTATCACACACTTTCATGCTGTGGCCAGCCAACGAGGCAGCACGGTTCCAGACTCGGACACGAATGTCGCTTTGTCAGTCACAGTTTTCACAGCTAAGTGGAAAAGTAAACAGAAATCCATTAACTCGGCAATTATGGTCCGTCCAAGGAGCGTTTATTCTGCTCCAAGTCCAAAGTCCACAACGCTGTGTGACATTCAGATAATCAGATGAGATGCGATGAGATGAATGTGTGGGGGTGGTTTTGTCGTCTTTTCTTCGGAGTATTGCCCAGGGAGGCAGTAGGTTTTCTGTTCAAGGTCTTTAATGAGGCACACTTTAGTTATGCAATAGCTGGAAGTGCTAATTTTTTTTATTTAAAACATATTGGGGGAAGTTATGATTCGCCTTCCATGTCGATTTTGTAGCCGAGGTCAATGGATGCCCGTATGTGTTCCTTGAGATTTATAAAGCCGTTGCGCAGCGACTCTTGAGTGAGGAATTCGCGAATTTTATCTGGGCTTTCACAGAACACCAGGTTGTCGACGTTGTCAATCAGCTTCTGCAAGGAAACATCCAAGCGATACAGCACAAGTAGGGCCTCAGTGCTCCGGCCGCCACTTTGCTCGTCATCTTCGCATTTAAGGCCACCGGCTAGCTTGACGAAACCTTGTGCGGCTGTAAAATCCAAGCCTGTTACCTTATGGCAGTCGATGACCACTGGAATCTGGAACTCGGCCTGCATGGCTGCCTTGAGTACTTTGGCACGTAGGTGGTTAATGGCGGGGAAATAGATGCCATTGCCGGGCGTCACACATATATACTGCATATCGTCGACCTTGGAAAGGAATTGAATTTGAATTCTGTGAATGACGGCAGGGGATCTGCGCTGTAGTTGGACATACCTCTTGAATTTTCACCGATATTTCGGGCCGAGCCCACAAGTAAAGCAAATGAGCCACATTGATGATGAGGCTGACAAAGAGCCCCACCTCCACACCACAGAGTACCGAGACAAAGAAACATATTACCCACACGCCGAAGTCACGCTTGGACTCCCGCCACAATCGCAGGGGGAGTTTGAAATCAAGCAAAGTGAATATGGAACAAATCAGGATGGCAGCCAGTGTCGCCTCTGGAATGTAATTGAAATACGGACTAAGGAAGACGAGAGCCAGCAAAACGATGATGCCTGCGAGATGAAATATTAGCTTTCCGCCTGGTCCTGTGAGTGATGACACTTACCCGAATACAGGTTGGCCATGGGACTTTTAAGCCCGCAGGCTGTACTGATGGCATACCGGGTGAAAGCACCGGAGGTAGGCATGGATTGGAAACAGGATCCGAACACATTGCACAATCCCAGTGTCATGAGCTCATGATTTGTATCCACCATCCCCTTGGGAGCTGCGAAAAAGTTAGAGTCGCTGTGTGGAAAAGCTATTTTATTTAGAACTTACTCAGTTTTCCGATGGAAAGGTTCGTCAGAATGCCGATAATGGGAATGACGATTATGCCGACGTTCATCTCCGCTATCATATCCCAAAACGAGTACGTCTTCTCTGGGGTTTCTATCGTAAATACCGGCAGAGTTATATTCGGTAGGCCGGACAGGGCGTTCCTGCTCAGAGCGTATGGCACCTGGGGCTCGGACTGCAGCCAGACATACGATACAATGGCCGTGATCACCACTATGAGGGTTGTACGCGAAAAGGAGAGATAGCGACACGTGACCTTCCAAATTCTATTTCCTTTCCCTCTATCCGCCACTTTCTCCAACAGCTTTCGGAAAATATAAGCTAAGGAAAAAGCTCAGTCAACGCTGATCGAGTGTGTACGTACCTCAAACAGAACGAGGAAGGCGATGGCGCAAATGCCCATGACAAGGTCGCCTGTGTTGGCTTCACCGTATCTCAAAAACAACGTCTTCACCGACTCTACCAGTCCCGCCACCAGGTACTTAATACCCAGAAGTACCTTGATTTGCGATTCTATAACCAGGATCGCCGTTGCCGAAGAAAAGGCCTTTATGACGGGCATGGAAATGAACTCGAAGATGAAGCCTGCAGAAGGCTTTTGCTTAGCAAAGCAGAATTAGCAATGGATGATTGACTACTTACCCATCCGTAGACTTGACATTATTAGCTGGACCACACCACTCAGGAAGGTTAGCATGAAGGCAAACTCTATGGGCTTGCCGACTGTGAACTGCACACTGACCAGGGCCACCAGACTGGTGGGCCCAATAATGACTTTGTCGATCGACCCAAAGAACAAATAGATCAGTGGACCCACAAACGCAGAGCACAGGCCATACCGAGCTGGCAGACCGGCCAGCAGGGCACAGGCAATGCTCTCGGGGATGATGGTAAGGCCTAGGGTTATGCCGGCGATGGCATCGTTAATACCCCACTCCACATTGTAGCGACCGATCCAATTCAGGATGCGCAGTTTGTTGCGTAAGCACCGCTTGGCTTTGTCGCCAACGCTTTGATTGCGAGCCTTGGCGGTGAAAACAATGCGTGGATGCTTCGTCGTTGCATCCTGGCCCTGCAGCATTTGCGCCCGCTCCCCGACCTTCTCACCGGCGCGTGGTGGTCCTGTGTTTAAGTCCATCTTCAAATCGGATTTCGTTCTGTTCGCCGTCACCACCGGTAGCGAATGTTATCTTCTTCGACTGTGACGAATAAATGTAAGTTCACTCGCTGCCCAGCCGGTAATGATCTTGATTTCAGCGACCGAGCACCGAGGACGCGCATGAATTTCGTACGACAGTTACACTTAGGTGACACTTTTTGTTTACCCTACAAATCATTATCGGGACTAATTGTCTTATCCAAATTTACACTTTTCCCCAATATTTTCCGTACCGCTTTATTTGTCTGCCCAGAGCTCGGTGTATGGCCGTAATGGGTGCGAAGTGTGAATTTCGTTGTTATTATTAAAACGCGCTAAACAGCTGGGTATACATTGCGATTTTGAGAGTAGCGGTCCGTTCAGCTTCATTTAGCTGTTGACATTCAGCTGGTATTTATATTTGTCGCTGGCGTAGACAAGATCATCATCTTAATTGGATGACAGTGTGTTAGATTGCTTTGTCAATCCATCCGCATGTGTATACAGTGGGTGTCAAAAAAAGGGGATGTATTCAAGAATTGTTTTGTTTTCCCAACTTGCCCTGAGAGCGGGGGTGGTGTCGCATTATGAATATGATGGCAATGCACCTGCCCAAGTCGATTCTGGATAGAGTATTTCGGTTGAGCTCATCCAAATCGGTGCGAAGCTGTGTAACATTTTTCCATTGCCTACGCGCATTTAGTACCCACTGTATATCGTTGTGTACACATGTCAAAATAGATGAACATGAAGCTATTGTACGAGGTTTCGGCAAACAAAGCAATGTAAATTCTGTACTGTGAACTACTTTACATCGGAGGTTCGAGCAGGGCAAAATCAAATTGAGACGTTTTATCAAGTTGTTGCTTTAGTTCTTTTTTTATCGCAAACTAAGTTTTGTAGGTCGTGAAATGCTTATAGGCCTGCTTTGTTGGAGTGCGGATATAGTTCTATGACTTATATTAAAGTATGCTTCGGAATATATGTTCCCGGCTAAACGCAACCACCGAGTTCTTAGTCAGTATTATTCCGTAACCATTCCGTTAAGAAGAACAAACAAATATTGCAACATGTATGTAGGCTAGATAGAGTATACCAGTTGTGCGAACCATTGCCAAAATCTGATAATTCGCATGAATTTCGTACGACAGTTACACTTAGGTGACACTTTTTGTTTACCCTACAAATCATTATCGTTACTAATTGTCTTATCCAAATTTACACTTTTCCCCAATATTTTCCGTACCGCTTTATTTGTCTGCTCAGAGCTCGGTGTATGGCCGTAATGGGTGCGAAGTGTGAATTTCGTTGTTATTATTAAAACGCGCTAAACAGCTGGGTATACATTGCGATTTTGAGAGTAGCGGTCCGTTCAGCTTCATTTAGCTGTTGACATTCAGCTGGTATTTATATTTGTCGCTGGCGTAGACAAGATCATCATCTTAATTGGATGACAGTGTGTTAGATTGCTTTGTCAATCCATCCGCAGTGTATACAGTGGGTGTCAAAAAAAGGGGATGTATTCAAGAATTGTTTTGTTTTCCCAACTTGCCCTGAGAGCGAGGGTGGTGTCGCATTATGAATATGATGGCAATGCAACTGCCCAAGTCGATTCTGGATAGAGTATTTGGGTTGAGCTCATCCAAATCGGTACGAAGCTGTGTAACATTTTTCCATTGCCTACGCGCATTTAGTACCCACTGTATATCGTTGTGTACACATGTCAAAATAGATGAACATGAAGCTATTGTACGAGGTTTCGGCAAACAAAGCAATGTAAATTCTGTACTGTGAACTACTTTACATCGGAGGTTCGAGCAGGGCAAAATCAAATTGAGACGTTTTATCAAGTTGTTGCTTTAGTTCTTTTTTTATCGCAAACTAACTTTTGTAGGTCGTGAAATGCTTATAGGCCTGCTTTGTTGGAGTGCGGATATAGTTCTATGACTTATATTAAAGTATGCTTCGGAATATATGTTCCCGGGTAAACGCAACCACCGAGTTCTTAGTCAGTATTATTCCGTAACCATTCCGTTAAGAAGAACAAACAAATATTGCAACATGTACGTAGGCTACATAGAGTATACCAGTTGTGCGAACCATTGCCAAAATCTGATAATTCGTCAATGATACCACGTTTTGGTATTTGACAAAATTGTTGGCCGTACTTCTTAAGGTGTTCCTTGTTTTTGAGGGTTTATCTGAAAACTGTCCTTAAGATATCTACAAAAGTTGGTCTTGAGACATCACTAAGCCATGTCAGGGTCTCGATAATGGTTTAGATTTATGTTTCCAAGTTTTACCTATGGCTTCGGTGGGTAGCTGCAGGTTGACCAACCCATTTTCTTGGATGTGAACTTTTCGTTGAGGTTTTCTATCTCGAATTGCTCTCAGATCTTTAATTCTATTGGAACGAATAATGACACTCCTCTCCTTCAGCAATGCGCTACGTTTATTAAAAAAATCCCTTCCAATTTATACTCACATCGCAGAAGACTTACACAACTAGAGATGCCAAATAGCAATATCTTCCGTTTGTAAACGTTGACAATTACTTAACACCAAAACATTGACCGGTATAGAAAACCCGGAGAAGAACTAGCTTTGCAGAAAGCTCATTTCGACATTTCAGTGCGAAAATGTAAATTTCTTCTTTGGGTATTTTTAGCTCAAATGCGTCTACAGCTGTAATATGTTTGGTCTTAAAGAAACAATGATCTAAAAAGTAGCTTCATTTAAAAGTGACATTATAGTGTTTGTGGGGTTTTGGCCCAGTTGACGCGTCAGTGCGAATACAGGCGGCGTATGAGCAATTATCCATTATCCGCCTAAGTCGGCAAGTGTTTTTAAATTTTAGCAGGGCTTTTGTTTTGTTTGCAGGTCCAATCATGGTACAATGATATCAAGGTAGGGCTATGATACCATATGATTTCAATTTTTTTATTTTCTTGGCTTAATATGTCATTTTTATTTGTTTATGTATGTGTTTTCTTTTCAATAACAAAACAATTGTTTAGAAAATATTCAAATTCGGATGTTTTCAAAATGTTTATTTCATCGTATGCATCGACAAAATCTAGAGTTTTTGTAGCGAAATAATCCTTTAGAGATATATAGAACCTGGTTTTGAAAAGAAGTGTTGACCTTTCATTCAGTTTTCGCGGTTTTCAATTCTTTATTCAAAATAAATGCAACAAGTTGTTGGATTTTTTTTATTGTTTTGATACTAATTCTGACATTACAAGCCAAACAGGTAGACCTCTATACTTGAAATTTTTTTAAAGTTAGCCTACCTTGAATTCATTGTACCATGGGTCCAATGTTGTTTGTGTCGGGGACCCCACCCTGTGTATGTCCCTGGTGTGACCGCATTTCTAAATACAGGGCAACTCTTAGAAATGTGGGTAGGATCATGGTACAATGATATCAAGGTAGGGCTATGATACCATATGATTTTAATTTTTTTTATTTTCCTGGCTTAATGTCTCATCTTTATTTGTTTATGTATTTGTTTTCTTTTCAATAACAAAAAAATTGTTTAGAAAACATTCAAATTCAGGTGTTTTCAAAATGTTTATTTCAACGTATGCATCGACAAAATCTAGAGTTTTTGTAGCGAAATAATCCTTTAGAGATATATAGTACATGATTTTGAAAATAAGTGTTGACCTTTCATTCAGCTATCGCGGTTTTTAAATATTTATTCAAAATAAATGCAACAAGTTGTTTGATTTTTTTATTGTTTTGATACTAATTCTGACATTACAAGCTAAACAGGTAGGCCTCTATACTTGCAATTTTTTCAAAGTTGGCCACCTTCTCTTCATTGTACCATGGGTAGGATTGTGTTGGGGCATAGAGTTTGTTTGAGCAATACGAGAAATAAAAAGTTTGCTTATTGGCGAGGAGTGATTAAAGTTCCAAAGATTTCCGTGTGCTTGGCACATGCATGTCGAACGCACAATACAAAGCGGTAATGAATTCAAAAAAAGCTAAAAAAAATGCCAACATGTGTGAATAATGTTTGGGTTAGATAAAGTTTTGTACCAATTCAGCCACACAAATGTACAATGCGACGCACATATATTCCTTAATTTGGCTAAATTTTCCACTTTCGCACCTACAGCTACATACATACATATGCGATTGACAGCAAAAGTGCCAACAAAAAAATCAAAGCCAGTTTTGAAACCAACGTCTTGTAGGTCGCATTTCACCCTTCTTTCACGAGCCTCAAATGGACTTGAGGTTTTGGAGAATGCGGCGCATATTGTAGAGCCAAAGCCCTGACACACATATCCGTTCAAATAAAAGCAAAATAGCTAAACGTGGAGGAGAACAATGCATTTAAAAGAAAAACAAGAAAATCCAAATCTCAGACTTGTTTGAACACTCCATCTAAATACTCGGCAGGTGTTGGTGTTGTTTGTGAAAGCCATAAAAGTGTGCGTGCCTGCAGTGGCCCACCAACAATGGCACAGGGAAGCCCTTGTGCTTGCCTCAGCGAAGGATTTGCGTACGCGATTCACGTATGCCCACTTGCGTAAAGCTGTTCCACATCTTCGTATGGACGCCTTTACAGCCATTAAAAATTCCCAATAATGTTCAATAATAAAGTAAACATTAATTTTGATGTTGTAACAAGACTGGGGTTGTGCAGTGGCGTTTGATGGTTGGTGGCTTACGTGCCATACGGGGATGCCTCCCATGCATACGGAATCATATTCACTGACAAGAACATAGATGGCACCTGCGCCTATTGGGCTTACATATTCCATCGATTTATTATGCAAAAAATACTCACATGGGCGAAAACGTTTTTTAATAAAATGAATTAAGTTACAAAAAGTAGTAGCACAGGACAAAAAGCAGTCACTGAGGACCATACGAGAGATTTCATAACATTTTTGATTTGAGCCAAATTGTGATCCGTCACTTGTCACTTGATATACGGTTTACACTTCGCTTTTAATGGTGGGGGACTTGGTTTGATGTGAACCAACTTGTCCTTAACCTTACCCTTGCGATGTTCCTATTCGTTGTCTTGTTACGATGTTGCGTGTGATTCGCGGGGATACTTTGAGTAACGGTAATGGTGTGCCCCTTTAGGAATGCCACAGAAGTGGCCACAAATATTGAAACGTTATTGAATTCCTAAGTCTTAATAATTTAATTAGCATTATCCTGGGGAAAACGTTCCAGACACGCAAACGAGAGGAGGAAGCGACCGTCTGTTAAAATAAATGAGAAACACCCACTTCCACAAAACTACACATCGCAACTGTAGCTCAAACAACATACATCGGTGAGGTGCATACAAACGCATGTTTTCTATACATGGACAAAAGATCCCGCCAACACTCAAACACATGTCCAGCAAGGACATTAAGATGTAAGCAACCATTTGGGATGCCAGTCAGGTAATAGTTGAATTCTGCTGCAATAGTCATTATGGCAGTGCCACAACAGTGTGTGCTTGGAAATTGTAAATACTCGCCACGCACCCACTTCCGTACTAGCACACACGCACGCTCACTCTCTCACACAACCTGGGGAAGGCTGACAGCTGAGGGCCGCGGTTAAGTGAGATGCTGGGCGTAAAGTCTATCGGTAGTTGCCACCAAATGCTTGGCAGAACGAGAAATTGCACAACTGAAAACAATCCAATTTAAGCTACACTATTTGGTGGTAGTAGTGGTGCCGAATAAAATCAGCTCCAAAGCAAAGCTGAATAAGAGGAACACAATAAAAATATAATTTAATGATTTTTCTCTCTCGACTGAAAATGAAACGATGTGCAGACAGTTCCTTCTATGTAAAGTCTTTTGTGGACCTAAAGAGTTTATTTGCTTCGGCAAACGAAAAAAGATTTTTGCAACATCATCACGAGTACCAGCTCTGGTGCCGCCGACAAGTGAAGCCAGTCAGACAGACGGACAGACAGGGGTAAGGAAGACAGAGAAACAGCAGCAGCAGCATCATCACGGTCACGAGTACGTGATCAAAATGTTAACTCGTCCTTCTTGTGTCGGGGAACAGAGACGTTGTCTCCCCCGTTCAATAAGTTCCAGCTGATGACATATTTGTTTCTCAAGAATGTGCCATTCATTTAAATAGCAAATACAATGACTCCAATAGTTCTGATCTTCTGAAAATAGTTACTACTGGTACTAGTCCCACCCTCAATCGAGTGGGGAGGGGGAGGGGACATTGTAAATGTCCTTGAGAATGTTTTCATTTCCCAGGTAATATTTTGAGCAAACCATTCTGGAATGGGGACTCGTCAAAGAGGAAGCGGCACGAGTTCCAGCCGTACATTTCCACCAAAGTTTCATGTGTCAGACCCCAGTTCTTCTTTTTCTGCCAAAGTTTGATGTCATTAAATATTCGAATTTGTTAAGCCGTCAACATTCGAAGATGAATAACAGAGAGATGACTACCCAAAAAAAAAAAACTCCAAAGAATATCCCTGACATCCTATTTTATTATAGCAACCAGGCATAATTTTGTAATGGGTTAGTAATCACCATTGTAATGTGCTGTTTGTTTTTATTTTTGTTTGTTTTGCTACTCTAAATATCGAGTTCATATCCTTGGGTGTATGGGCGACCATTCACACTACATTTTACAAAATACTAGAAATTGAAAAGGCAGTTTGTTTCCATTACCCAGTAATGAGTTATGCGGCTCATGTGTCCTCCAACGGTTTGTTGGGAAAAGGTACGTTTCGTGAATTTCTTCTTCAGTTCCATCAATTATATCCGAATAAGATCTTTGTTTTAAGCTTTTTGCACTGCACCGTCAAACAGGTGAACTCGTCGAATGCATGCCGGTGCACATGAAGCTGTTTGTCTACGCCAAAGGACAAAACGAAAGCAGGGCTAGGCAAGGCCCTCATAACGAAGGAAACAGAATGAGGGGACGTGTGAATAAAGTTCACTCATTGACACCCTTTGCTTACACCTACACGTACACCCAATTGCGTTGCATTACTCACACATACTTTCAAATACATCCATTACACACACATACACACTTAGCCAACTAAAGGCCCTGATGAAAATGATGATGACAGCGTTATGTAGCACCTCCAATAAATTTTGGCATTCATATCGAGTGTGTGTGTATGTGGGCCTTCAACTGTGCTGCGTCGACACAACGTTCGTCGCAGGAATTCGCAACCTTGTGAACTATTTGCAACCAGCCATTTGTAAATACCATTAACTATGGCGCGAGTGACATACTTTTAATGTTCACCCGCTCCCGCCGCTCTACCGATATTTCAACAACTTTCAAACTACTTTGCAACTATCATTGTTTTTCAAACTTTAATTTCTTATAACAACACATTGGAACAGAACTCACACATACATGTACTTGTATACACTTAAAACGAAACAAATAGATTTATATTTACTTAGGGCCCGTGGACGGTAACTGGTTGTCCTACATGGCAATGTGGACCAGGGCATGCAGTGCCGCAAGCAAGGTGGCCAAAATTGCGTAGTCACGAAGACCGTAGGCACCGGCGGCATAACATCTGAAAGGAGAAAATATACCCAAACACACACACACACACACACACGTATATATATTAGTAAGGATAATTTTTTCAGCGGATAATCACTTACGTGGGTGACTGGGTGATCAGCGACATGGTGCCGTTCGTGAAATTTGCATAATTCTGAGAAGCCATTGCCTCGTATGAGTTGAGGGCAGTTGTGTTGGGGTACCGATCACGTGTGAGGATAATGCCGAAGAATGTGTTGGGATCAGAGGCGTTCGTGTAGCCGCAGACAAAAGCGTAGTTTTCATAGTCGGTGTCCAGCAGCTTGTATACTGTGTACGAGGTGTTCGACAGTCCGTTGATGTAGGAAATGTTGTAACCACCGCCGTTCACAACATTGCCCAGCGCTATGTCCGTGTACATGGTCTGATTGACCCACAGATAGCTCGGGGTATTGGAGTAAGTCGTCGCTATCCTGGCCGTGTTTTGAGGTTCCATTATGAAATTGACTTCGACGCAATCCCAGTTTCCAGTGGGCGCAGGATTACGGGCCACTTCCCACCAAGTTCCATTAAACTGAAACATAAAATATGCCGTCTTTAGGATGTTGTGTCACCACCCCTCTCCAAACCTACCTGAGTGCTATTTACAGTCATGCTAGACGACTGCGTACACAATGGAGGGCTTTGTTGGGCATAGGTCAGGCCATTGGTCAGGAATATAAAACATAAAATGCCAATTGCCAGCATTCTGATGCGTGCAATGGATAATGTGTTCTTCGGGGAAATGGCAAGCAGACTGACCCACAGTAGGAAAAACAAAGGTCGATTTCACGGAAATGACGCCCCACACCTCCGACTACTTTGGACAGTTTTTTTTTTCGAAAATAATTAAAAACTCATTTAGATATCGAAACGACAAGAAATGATTGAAATGCCCAAATTCGCGGGGAACTTCAGTTGAGATAATGCAGTCGGGCATGGGTTTTAATTCATTTCAAGTGACCACCAAGCCGAAGCGGCGGGATTAACTGTACCCCGTGACGCTCTGGGCAAAACATTATAGTTATCTAACAGTTGGGAAATTCCAAAAACATTCAAATTTCGGTCATGATTATTCACATTTGAAGAAAAAGATCCGAGCAATACGTCAACATTAAATTTTACGGCTAATCAATCTCTATTCTCACTGGAGTTCCTTGAAAAGTCGGGGAAGTGATAAAACAAAACCGATGGCATAACATGATTTAAACAGAAAAATATAAACGATTAAACTGGACAAAAAATGTCAAAAGGAGATCGGCAGACCCCTTCAAATTCCATTTTTTTGAATGGGGACTACCTTTTACTAATTTACTACAATACAATGTGGATGTGCACAAAAAATATCCAACACGTTTGTTGTAAATAAAATAGTACTCATACGCATCAGCGTTATATGAGGAGGTGGGGTGGATAGAGAATCCCGATATGAACAATTCTTACACATATGTAGCCGGACGTACAGTTTACTACATACAAGTCCAATCAACTGTATATGTGAGCTGACCATCGATCATATGCCTTAATGAGGACCAACAGCCAAAATAACAAAAACATTTCTCAAAAGTCCACCAAAAATATTTATATTGGGTACATGTTGAGATTTCGAAAATTGGACGGAAGATTTTGTGATGAGTTCACGTACCACTCGCAAATTCAAAAGCAAGTTTTGCCTATTTTTTACCGAACCCCATCTACATGAAATATGTTTCCATTTGCTGTAGTCACCATTCGAGTCAAAGAATGAAACCGACAGCTAAAAAAACCCAAAATGAATTTCTTTCGAGTTGGAAACGAAAGATGCCTTTCGATTGCTTAAGAGCTGGTCCAGGAAAAGCAAGTACGCGAGCCTTCTGTGAGCGTAATTCTCTCCATACTCACGATCAGATTCATTGAAAAACAATCTAATCACAGAGTAACTCTTTGCTCGGCCCTGTCATTGAAAAACAGGCCATAAATACTCCGTTTTCAAACAAAAAATGTACAAAGTCATAATGCTACCGGATGATGGAAATTTACAACAAAATATAAATAACTTGTCCGAACTGTCTCTCTGTGGATATTTCAATATGCTGTCCAATCACTAAATGAGATGCCACATATATTTGTAGGTACTTCTTCCACTTGGAACTTGTGTGGAATTGTGAAATTTGTATTAAATCTTTGTAATTATCTTATTGTTTTCATTATTTAGTAAATATTTAGATGACAAAAGATCAATACAACTGCGTTCCGTTGGGATATGCAGAAATATTTCTGAAAGTAACCGATATTGTGGAGAGACAGTTTTTTTGTATTAATATGTATTTAATAAAAATGTCCAATGCTATCCGCATATTTGTGTTGCAGCGCGAATGTTATCCAGTATTCGAAACTCGAACACAGACACACACACGCCTACATGGATTGGTACCGCCCTGCATATCTGAATATTTTCATTAGCGGCTATTTTTGAAACATAGATCCCGCTGTTTATCACTTGACTCGTTATCTGGCAAATGATTGATTTCCAATGTAAAATTACCTCTGTTACCAAATGGAAAATGGCCTTATCTCCTTTCCTTTCTTTCCATGTAGTTGTGGGTCGTAATTGTTATTCGTTTTGCAGGGCAAAGGGGGGAAATATGCGAACATGTTGCCTCACGAAGTCAAACTGGAATATTTTTATATTTTGTGAAAATCGTAGGGTGCTTTTCCGGTGAGGGGAAAGTTTCTGCTGCTGTTTGGTCCCCAATATATACATGTGTATGTACATGTGTGTGTGTGTGTATTTACACTCGTAAACATATGTACATCGTACATTCATCACTTATAATGGGTAATAAATCAGTGGAATTTCAATTAAGTACTCGACAAGTAGACAGATGTCGCCAACTACAAATACGGTCACACACACACCGACACACATTTGTGGTTGAGTGTGTGTGTATATATGTTCATGTGCAAATATTAACCTTTCATTGATGTCTCATCGGCGTCGAGCAGTAGGCTCTTGGTATCAAAACGGTACGACTTATTCCCGAACCCAACTTTGTTTTGGAACACATCATTAATTAGATACCGAAACCAATGATGTTCCAGCGTTTATCTTATCAGACCTCACCCGGGTTGTCTATGGATTTATTGATAAGGATTGTACCCAGTTTCGATAAAGACTTCTACACACATGAAATCCAACAGAGTTGGAGAGAGAGAAGGCACAAGTCTTGGGGGGGGACCTTATTATATATCGTTTATTTTATTTTATTAGGCAACAATTCATTTAACAAATCAATAAATTAAATAAAAGTAAGTTTTAAACGTCAGTGCGACTACTTTAGACAAAGATGTACTCAGTTAAAGACTCTAATCAGCAAATAGAAAGCGGCAAACACTGAGCTCAAAAGGGGCAAGGTGGTCGACGCGGAACTGGCGTAACAGCTGTGGACGAGAGACAAACAAAATTTGTGGTTAAGATAGGTTTCGCATTTGCCATGCCAATCAACAATGGGGACTTACTTGTTCTGGGTGACATTGGCCACAGTGCTGACGTTGAAATTCACGAGGTAGGGGGCAGTGTTGTTGACCAACTGGGCCACCCAAGTGCTGTTGGGTCTTACGGTGCTGGTCAGGATGCCGCCTACCGAGGTCGTCAGATCGTTGGCCGAGGTGTAGCTACAGAAGGTCACATATGTTTTGTAGTCAGTGTCTAGGATCTTGTAGGTGGCGTTGTTAGGCTTGGCGGGAGACTTGGTGTAGGTGAAATTAAAACCGGTGTTGGCATTCACATCAGTGACATTGACAGTGGCATTCGTGAACTGGTTCATGTAGTTGGAGGTTGCGGACGAGGAAGTCCATTTGGTGACGACCAGCTGGGTGTTGTTGTTGGCCAGAGCCACATTTAACTGGACACAGCCAACGTTGGCGGCGGGAGCTTGTACAGTTTCATACCACAAGCCGGTCAGCTAAAAACGCATGTACATGGCAAAGGGTGATAAGAGAAAAATGAGGGGGGTGTATATCAACAACCAACTTACTTGTGTGGCGTTCAGATTTGCCATACCGGTGACCGTTTGGCACGGTTGCTGTGCCTGGGTGCCGAAAATGCCAAAGACCACAAGAAGAGCAGCGCAAATGAGTTTACTCTGAGCCATTTTGTCTTGGTTACTCGTCAAGGATTCGATAATGGTCGCGATAGTTGGATTGTTGTCTTCGTGGCGTGGAGACCCTCTGCGATTGCCTGGCGAAATCGTACTGAACCTCCAGTAGCAGCGTTAATAATATTTTATATCGGACTGAATTCATATCTATTTCCTTTTTATCTTGCAACCCGGCGGTATCACGTCAGGGCTTAAAGCCCCTTTGACTGTGTGCGTGCAAGTAGCGGAAGATAACAGCCGTATAGCTGAAGAAAACAAATCAATGTGCCATGGTATGAACTCACACAGCGGGAAGGTAGCTCGGCTTGTGCTGCTACTCCATTCAGCTGTGTGTGTTGTTGAGTATCGTGCAATAATTAAAAAAAAAGAAAAGAAAAAAACAAAAATTATAAAATCAGACAAGGGGATTTTTCCTAATTGAATTTCTATGAAGGGATTATTCAAGACATTTTCGAGCAATAAACATTTCTTTCAGAGAATTGTCACCCCCGACCCCCCTCCACTACACTGAAGAGTGTACTTTTCTAATTGTTGTCAATTTCACCCCCTTCTCTGCCCCTCTTTGAAGAGGCTGATAGCCAATTGATAAACATCAATTGGCATAACTCTCTATAATACGAATCCCCAGATAGCTCGAACTAATCGGAATATGGTACTTGATTTCAAGTACATGGCCATTTATTGCATGTGCGAGAGGTATCCGGCGATAGCAATACTATTTCCAAACTTTGTTGTCGCCTCGAAAACATAAATACAAAATATAGACTATTAGTCACTGCCAGCTGAAAAGAGTGTTCGCATTCATATATTAAATGACGCAATTGTTGAGACAAGGATTGCTGAATAGAAGATCGTGTGTCGTCTCGGTGGGATATGAAGAACTTTCGACAAGTAGTTCGCTTGATAATAATATCAATAAATTCCAAGAACAAAAAAAATGCAAAACCGTATTTTTGTTATTTTGGGATAAATTAATAAGAATATGGAGGTCTTTGAAGAAATTTCTACAGTAGTATTTGTTAAAATTTCAAAACTTATTTTAAATAGCAAGTGAAGAAAAAATGAGAACAATTCTCACTCAGCAAAAATATTTTGAGTAGTCACTTTTCGCTTTTGTCAGCTGTTGGCATTTTATCCTCGTAAGCCGATGGAAACTGACTTATTTTTAAGGAATAACTCATTATTTTTAGCCTACTGGTAGGGTACTTTGTTGATATTATGCGCGTGTTAGTGGGTAATGTTATATAGGTCCATGCACCTGCTAGGTCCTTTTAGCCTATTTTTTAAAATTCTTAAAAATTATTTTTTTCCACCAATGAAATTTCAAAATACTCCAAAGGTAGTAGAGTTTATTTATGTTTCATAGTTTATTTAGGTCTTTCAAACTGATTCAATTGTTTGTTGGATATTGACGTAACTGTAGTTCGCATTGAGCTTGTGGGGTATTAATTGTGCGAATAGCGTTCCAAATGAGCCTATGAGTCATAGTTAATTATCGTGACAATTTTTTTGATTATTTTTTTAAATAAAGAAGTGATAAATTAGAAAAGGCAAATGGAATTGGATTATTTTGTCAAAGAATTTTACATTCAATTTCCCTTTACCATTTCCATGTTTGTGTGTGCCTCACACCCTTTCGAGTATTGTTTCTCAATTGAATGCTTCAAATGCATTTAAGAACGAAGTAAGCTGTTATTGTTGATACAGGTCCTCAGAAACTACGATATGTGGAGTAGTCTTCACATAACGGTACTTTCGTTTTATACCAATAAAAGGCTTTGGGCCCAGTTCTTAAAGTTCGGTCAGATCGTACTTTACGCTGTTAATACTAGTTTATATTTTACAATTGTACTGTGAACTATTTAAATGTCACGTGACATTCCTACAATGCAATCAAATTCTATGCACTCATCTTCCTTCCATGGGTGTTCTGAAGTCTCATATCCTTACAGAATTAATTTTATTTGGCTGATGACAGACATTCTTAACGTTTTTGAAGGACGTATTTTCAAATGTAGTCCTTTTGGACTTATACAGGGTGTTTTTTATGAGGTTTTCTTTTAATGTGAATCATTCTGTTCTCTGACAGCTGTTTTAAAGGGGAGGGCTGCACACCAGGTTAAGGCCTTGGAATCAGTTCTTCAGATTTGCAGCTCGAAACGTGGTTTTGATTCGGTTGGGTTCATTGTTATATGCGAGCATATACATATCCAGTTCCGCACACCAAATGTATTAACTTACTCGCTGTAATAAAAATACATTAAAACTATATGATTTTTACTCCTTGCTATGAGGGACTAATAAAAAATACTAAAACGTTGTTTACGACCCGACACCAATTTGAAGGCACAACTTTTTGAACCGAGCCATTTTTTTAAGTTAAAATACGGGGTTTGGATCGGTCCAAATGTTTACAGGGTGAGATAAAACAACTGCAACAAAACCAAACGCCATAATTTTAACATTTTTTTAAAAATTTTATTGAATCAAAGCAAAAAATGTCGGAAATAGCATCAAATTTTGGAATAAGTTTTGATTGTTTTGAATTGATCACCTTTGGCACGAATCATAGAACTAATTGTTGGTCACCTTTGGTACGCTTGCTTGAGGTGTTCGACACTTTGGTACTTTTTAGTGCCGACCTTGCATTCCAAAATACTCCAGAGTCAATAGTCCAACGGATTGGTATCCGGAGATTTTGGTGGCCATTGTGCGCTGGAAATGAAGCGAGGAACCTCATTTTGTAACAAATCTTGGGTGGCGCGTGCTGAGTGCGATGGTGCTGAGTCCTGTTGGAATGTCCAAGGTGTGCAGCCAAAAGGCATTAATAAACCCTCCAGAATATTTTCGCGATAATATTCGGCATTTATTCTGATGCCACGGTCGATTAATACGAGCGGAGAGCGACCATCGGCTGTTATGGCGTCCCACGCCATCACCATGGCCGGCACTTGAGTTCTGGTGGCCAACCGAAGGTGCACATTTTTAGCTGACCTCTTTGGCAAGTAAACACGATCATTTTGTTTGTTTACAAATTGCTGGACAACGAATGTTTTCTCATCGGAGAAAACCAAATTCGGCAGCTCGCCACTTTCGGCCAAGCGAAGCAATTCTTTAGCTCTCTTGAGTCTATTTTCTTTATGTTGCAGTGTAAGTTCTTGCACTTTTTGGAATTTCAATGGCTTTACCCCGAGCTCATTCGCGATATGTTCATCTGACAAGCCATTTTTCGGCCACTGCGACCAATTCTGCTGATGTTGCTGTTTTCTTCCGTTCACTTCCTTGGCGTCGGGCTACTCTACCAGTATCACGGTAAAGAGCGATCGTACGAGACAAAAAAGATTTATTCACATTTAGATGCTGGAGTGCTCTAACGATAACCACTTCTGGTTTTCCAGCCAAAAATAAAGAAATCGCACTATCACGCTTGACTTCCATCACGAATTACTTTTTTTCTGGAAATTCTCACTAAAATGCGGACGAGTGGCTTAGTAATGATATCAGTCTTTGGTGTGGTGCCTTACAAAAATTCCATCCAATTATCTTCTCATTTTTAGATATGTCAACAAGGAACAATTTGGAGCAATGATAATCCACACGCCGTACAAGTATTACCAATGCATCCCGATGAATGTCTTAGAAGAACACCCCTTAAATAAGTATGGTCCCAAATCCATACATTGTGCTCCTCCCCGGTGATTACAATTAAGGAAAAACAATATTTGTGTATTAAAATTCAGTTTTTATTTCAGTATTTTACTCTTCTCTCACTTCATTGTCTTCAGGACAATTATATAATAATTTTAGAATTAGACATCATATTTTCAGGAGTGGCTTACGTAGGATGTAATGGTATGTTGTTAGGGACTAGAGACTCGATACTCCTTTCTGCAATAATTTGAAATAAGAAAATTGAAATTCAATTGTTGCAGAAGGGAGCAGGTCTCCTGATATGGTGTTTATACAAATTCTTATAACGGGTGTCGGGAAAAAATGTGTGGAATAATTATTTCTTTAGATTTATATGTATATATATATATTATATTTTATATACTGATTCTATACCATGATGATTGTACCGCAACAGACACTGTTTGTCAAGAAAAAAAAAGAGTAAAGTAAAATATGCAAAATCCAATGGCATTGTGTGGGATTCAAATATAAAAGATCTGCGTGACTTCCAAAATGTTTCGAAACAGTATAGGTGTATACCCAGCAAAAACTTGGGATCTGTATGAGACGATTGAAACAGAACTTCTTTTACTCTATACCGAGTACACTTTCGACTACACTACACTACACTTTCGACTACACTACCAACGGTTGTGAGTTCTAGACTCGAAAACGCACCCAATTGTTGATGTACATTTAAAGCTTGAATCTTGAAACCTTTTATGTTCATGCGTGTGTGTGATCGACTTGTTGTTAAACATAAGATTGCGAGTTAAATACCAGCAGCAGACAAATTATTATTTTTTTTTTTTGACTTTTACTGGCATATGATTAGGAAACCCATTATTTGGTTGGTTTGGTTAGTTTTGCTGGTTAAGAAGTGCACACCGATGTATTATGGGCTTTGTTCCTTTACCTTTGCAGGATTAAAACAAGTGGAAGTGAAATGAATATAAAATTCACTCCGACAGTCAGTAGGTGGCAATTATATTATATATTACCAATTTCTACCATAACGTCATATTGCACAGTGGTCCCAAACCGTGACACTGTTGACTTCTACTTTATATGTGAGGTATACAAATCAGTGAATATATTGTAACGAGAGTCCAAAATGCCAAATTGCATCAAAATATGTACCCAAATCAACAAATGTACCTAAGGTTATAAGGACTACGCCCAAAGGTGTTCACTAAAAAAGGTAAAGAATGAAGGTCGAATCCCTTGGGAACATTTCCCAAAGCTGCCTAATAGATGCCGATGCGTTCTTCAATAAACGTTTTGGAAGTCAGCTGCTTGATTAAATTTATTTGGACTTTTAATCAGAGTCACCATATATTCATTGGCGGACTCTGGCCCATTATATATGCATATCTTACAAGGAAGGGGGGGGGGGGGGTTCTCTTTGGGTGTATCTAATCTTAATTCATGTATATGTTTGTTTACTCGTGTAGTTCCCTACATAGGTGTTTATCGCTTTTATTTATTTCTATTATTATCATTATTGGATTTATTTTCCTACATTTGTTGTATATATTTACGTTAGAGAGTGTGTTTGCACTTGGGTCTACACAAACATACTTTTAGGATTCACGGGATGTGCTCATTTAAAATGCGATTTGGGTAATGGGGGGAATACACAGGAGCAGGTAAGGTGGCAAGGAGTTCAGTTAGGGACAGAGGGAAGTTCGGAAGAAAGACAGACGCCTATTGGGGAATATGGGGGCGGGAGTAATATATGTTTCGTATTTATGACTAGAATATGAAGCTATTAGTATTGTAGTATTTTCATACATTGAATGATTGATTGTGTGTATGTGTGTGTTCCGTAAAAAGGACTCATGCTATTTTACAATGGTTTACAACCTAAGTAGAGTTTTTGTTGTCAGGATTTATTAGCATCACTCGAGGAGAGTTTCGTTAAGTTAGTTCGTTTTACATTGTGGTATTGCATAGATATTTGTACATTTAGTAGTAGTAGTAGTAGTAGTATTGTTAGTAGATTAGTAAGAGTGTGTGTGTGAGTGTTTCGTAATGGATAAAAGGTAGATGCGCTGTTATTGCTGATTCGTAGGTAATTCAAATTATGTAGTTAACAGTCTTTAGGAAGCCTTACAATATGTACGTAGGTATGTTCATTATGAAAATGTTCGATAAGTTTGTTTTTGTTGTTTCCACTGATATGTTCGCTGTGGTTGCTTAATATTGCAAACGCCTAAAAATATGCAATGTCTTTTGTTATCACACACAATGTAATGTTGCTGTTATTAACATTACAGTATTTCAGTGCGTTGCTGTTAATAACAGCAATTGATTCATAGCAAGATAAATACAGAGACGAAGCAGCGCTCAACAACACCGCGCTCAGCGACTCGAAAAAAATTTGGAATCCAATTTTTAGGAAAACTATCAAAAATTTTTGCAAATTTTTATTTTAAACTAACCATAGTTAGAAAAACTTAAAAATTTGTTTTTATTGGCATTGGAAAAAGAAAATTTTGTCTTTACATTTATTTGTCTATGGTTGATAGGCGTCCCCGCCAGGAGCATGGAAAACATTGGCGGGATGCTAACCACTTACTATGACAAAGTAAACTACTCATCAGCAACGTAGTTGGGTGAGTAAGTTGCAGTACATTCTGGATTCTTGCACGTCATTATAACCTAGCTTGTTTCTCCGACTTGAGAAGGAATTGTGTAAAAAAATGTGGCAACCAAATTTTTATATGTACATATATGTGTTCCTACATACACCGTTACCAACGTGTATTTATAGGCAAGTTAACATTACTCTGCCGATGACATTTAACATTTTTATAAAGAAATTTACAATTGATGTGGACCTATCAACGGAATATTGGAAAAACGTAAGATTTATCACATGTATGTACATATATATATATATATATATATATATATATATATATATATATATATATATATATATATATATATATATATAAAATTGGTTATAATTGAAAATTCCCGGCACCTATTTCAAAATGTGCCCGACTTTTGTCAATTTTGAGTTCGTATTTATTGTTTTAAAAAACATAAACAATATATTTTCATAATCAATTATTGGAGAAACGTGCATTGCTGGGCTCGCATTAAAGATATCAACCAGTTTTTGCTGTGGAATTAAAAGATTGAATAGTTTGGATCATATTTTACAAATGAAGAAATCAAATAAATGAAAACAACTTGTTGCATATAATTATGAATAATTCTAACAGGTAGTAGGCATAGCCTCAAAACTGTGTTTTTGCAGTTTTACGAAGCGGATTTACATTTACATCCTTATTGTGGCATGCTTTCAACGATAAAGTGACCAGATAAGATGTTTATGTAAAACATCAAATCAAACAATATACCACTCGTCTTGGGCAAATAGTTTTTGAATGATAAGCTATGCACGAGTTCCAATATGAAACAAATGTTTGCCATTGCCGGTTTGGCAAATGAGATTACCTCATTCACTTTGCCATGTCTAGATCCACAAACTAAATACCATATATTATTTAGAAAACAAAACGATCGGGTTTGACAGTCTTGCTAAAAAACGATCGAAAATTCCGAATAAGAAACATTGCCGCATAATGACGAGATGCAAGAATCGAAAATATGCTGCAGGAAACGAAAATAAAAATATAAACAAGATTTAATTTTTTTCATTTAAAATGAGTTCAAAATCATTTTGGCTTTTATTTCCCTTTTGTAATATTTTGTCATTTGCTTTCACTTCTTCTTCGTCTCGCAATAAATACTCTTTTTGTTTTGTGTTGTTTTTTGTTTTCAATTCAGTTCGATTGTCCTTATAAACTAAAATAACAACTTAGGAGTGTTCGTCTATCAGCTAGAGCTTACATTTACAGGATAAGGTTCAATAAGTACAAATACAAAAATTATTATTAATATAATAATAAAGAATGGTAATGTTCACAAAAATATGACTAACTAGATAACAGCACTGCCCGGCGACGGAGTCTCCGCCCTGGCACCGGGGCATATGCCTAGCGATAGGAAACAAACAAAAGTAAACCTAGATTTATTTAGTATTTAGTATAGTACATTAACAATCACAATCGGTTGGTCGGAGAGGCGTCCACCTTCCCCCCACGAAGCTATAGTTGAAGGCCAGTACGGCCCATGTTCGTGGCCGGGATGGGGACTTTCGAAGCTTAGGTCTAAAACAATAACAATGATAAAATAGAATTATTTGTTTATCTGTTTGGAGTTATTTGGACTAAGGTGTTATTGCTTCATCGTTGAGAGTTTAGCTGTTGCTTTACGGCTTTTGTTGGTGCCTGGTGGCGAGGATTGGGTTTTTGGCTTTACATCTAATTGAGTCGAAAGCTCGATTCGATATTTACAAGTGGTTTAGTCGATGGAGAATAGCTCTCCGATTGCTATTTACACTTAGGGGCGTTGCATACAAACTAGATTAAATGATACGTAGGATTCTTCTGAGAGGAGGATAGCTGGCTTATCTTCTAAATTTGACTATGTATTTGGATTAGAGTCTACTGAGTAAGAGTGTGGTTGCCACATATACGAGTTGTTTTGGTGCGGAGGGCTGTGTCTGATCTCACGCCTGCAGCAGATCGTTGTTGTTTTGTGTCTGCGTTGCGCCGCTTGATGACGAGGATGTGTTCTCTAGATGAGAGGTGATGGTGGAGGCGGCGCTGTTGTTGTTCGGACTAGACGCTTCGGTGGAGGGCGCTGTAGTTTGCGTTGACGAGGGTAGGATGTTCATCATAGTCGCACTCTGGCCGTTGTTGTTGTTGTTGCTCGTTTTTCGTTTGTGCCACGAAAAACTGAGGGCGTTCGCCAATCTGCTGGGCGGCTTCTGTGTAGGTGCGGGCGGCGCTGGTGGAATGGGCATGGCAATGTCGTAGTCATGGCGACCAATGGACGAGGCTGGCGTGTGATGACTATAACCTGAATCGGAACCAAAACTTGAGTCGCCGTGAGCATAGAGCGGTGTTGAGTTTTGGTATGTTTGCGAGGCAGGGTGGTGGTGTCTGTAGCCGGAGGACATGCTTCCCGAACTGTATTCGGGCATGATGTAGGCAGGGTACGACGCAATGGGATGTGGAATGCGGTTGTTGGCTGCGCTGCAGGACTCATAGTGGTAGTTTTGATGATAGACGGGCTCCGTATAGCCATATGCTGGCTCAAGGCTGTCTGGCGGTGCAACCATGCGCCCTCTCCTTCTGTCCACTGAGCGTGGATTTGTTCTGGTTCTCATTGAACTGGCCAAAAATCCATTAGGTGCATTGGATGTATAATAATGCTGCGGGTATCTGGCACTACCGGGGTATTGTATGCGCTCGCGGAAGATTGTAGCAACGGCTGGACCGGAGTGATTCTTCAGTTGAGCATTGATGCGGTTACGTCGGTCCACTTCGCTTTCGATTGTGTTGTAGAAGTGGGGCGGGACATGCGCAGCCATATTCCTATTGTTGTTCGGATGCGCATGCATGTGATGCAGGCTATGATGATAGCTTTGCGCTTGGGGATGCAACTGGTGTGGATATCCTAAAGCCATCAGATTGCTGCTATTGTCATACATATGCTGCAAGGGCGTTAGGTCTGCCACGTCTGCTGTGGATGCGGACGTGTTCAAGTCTTCGGTTGTTGTACTTCTCCGATCACTTCGAGATCTGGCTCCACCCGCTGATGATCGGCGGCCCGTTATTTGCCTCACCATTCCCGGTACTAAGGTGGAAGCTCCACTACTTCTGGCGACCACTGAATTAAGGTTCGTATTGTTATTGTTATGCGACGAACTTGACGATGCCGCGGTTGCCGTTGAGGCATCCTGGTGCGATGAATCCGATGACAAAACACTGTTACGCTCAGGCATACTCGTTGATGCATTCGATGTTGTCGGCAGGATGTGGGCTTCAGTGTTGTTGGGCCTATCAACCTGTGTTGTCGTTGCTGCATTCGATGCCTCGGCATTATTTGGTTTGTTGAAGGATCGCTCTCCTGGCAGCGAGAGTTCGTCCTCAGCAAAATCGTCATCGGAATGAAGGGGAGGTTCACTTTCCCCATCCGAGTCTCGGTTGGGACCCAGTTCCTCATAGACATTATCGTTTGAGCGGTAAGGATCCGGGCCGGGAGAGTTTGTTACCAAGAAAGGTGGTGATCTAGTCATGGGATATCCGCTTGGATAGTGAATGCTCTTGGTGTGCAACATCTGCAGAAAATGAAGAAGAAACAGAAAGAAAAGAGCAGTTAGTAAAGTCATTTAGAAAAATACTTTGAATTTAGTCTGTCCGTTTGGAGGAAGTTGGGGCACACCAGTCCCATTGGCGGTTGGAAATCTGATATTTTATTTGGTCGTGGTTTGTCGAAACGAATGCCTGAATACGAAAAAGGCGCTAATGGCTGAAAAAACGGATCCTGACACCACACAACGGACGAAGTGTGTTTATTTGTGAAGCATAAATCTATTTGTTTTGACTAAAAGTCGATAAAGAAGCCGACAACTATGAGTTTCGCTATCACACCAGCTTCGAAGATGAGAAGACATTCAACAAGCTTGACGAAAAGCCGGAAACACTAACGTCAACATGTAAACGACAAACAATGGAATTGTTTAGCACAATGAGGTTGTAATTGTACACCTTGACGGGCCAGCTACATGTGAGTGAGTGTGTGTGAGTATAAAGTTTACAGGATGTGTTTTGAGCAGAGGACATTCGGATCGATTTGTCATTGAAATGTCGTGTAGTGTAGTTTATTGTTGGCTCTGACATAGACTTACCTCAATGTTATGATGGTGTCGCATTACCAGCGGCCTATGGTGGCCTAAGTGAGCATCGGGATCCTCGTAGGTTACGGAGTGTCCCGCTGTCAGGGCGGTAAGAGCGCCAGTGATGTGGGGTCCACGGTTGGGTGTTTTGCAAGGCAGAAGATTTTGAACCTTTCGTTTGTTTCTGTGAATGAGAAGAAAGTGAAAAATCAATTAGTAAGTTACATACATACATACATACATGTACGCATAGATACAAAGCAGAGTGTGCTGACATATATATAAGCATATTGACTGACCATTGCATAATAAGAATATACCAATTTATATTTCCTAATTTCTTTAAATCAATGGCCTAAATATGTGTTTGTAAACTGCGTGATTTACATTTCTACAAATGACGAACAAGCAACGATTTTTAAATGAACACAACTTTGATCGCTGTCACCCACAAAGGCAAATGGTAACGGAGCTCTTCAAACAAACAGCTTTTTTGCCACTTGACCAAATACTAATGCCTCGGCATTGTTTTCGTCCCTCTGTCCTTAGTAGAAAGCAGCGACAGTCATGTTTAGGAATCCTTTGCCTAACATGCCTTTTGTCGTCTTCTGGGTAGGTAGTGAGAGGTAACGCAGAGCTTTGATTTGTTGGACTTTTCCAATAGAAAGCTTCAGCACTCTCTCTTTGTGTTTCAGACATTCTGGTTGGCCTGAGAGAGGCCTGATCTCCTCAATCTCAATCGATGATGAATGAATTGACACCGCCCAAGGGTAAAATAGCCAGTTTCGAGTTTTAAAAAAATTTATTAATAAATTAGAGATGTACGATTTTTGGCGGTTTCAGGTTACGTTGTCCGTCTCATCGCTTCAGGTCGTTTATATTATTAATAACATGGTTAACATACATTTTTATGGCACTTTAACAATGACATCAATTTGGAAACAGCCAAGTTCAAGTTTTAACGGCTGCCTGAAGAGGTGGGCAATGTTGACAACTATGCCGTACATAATCATTGCTGCTACCTCTTTGTTGGTCACTTTGAACTGGGCTTTGCTCTTTTCAAGCATGGGCATAGCCCGATGGCAGCTCATTAGCATAAGTCGAAATGCAACATTGATTTTAAATCTCGGATCAGCCGGTATTAGAGCCGACCTATGCGTGAGAGTGCGTGTGCGTGTGTGTTCATATTCATATTTTCGACTTTATGTTAATTATGGGCTTAAACGAAAGGAAATTGTAAATTATCCAGTTTGTCGGGTCGAATTCAATTAATTGACAGACTTTTCCGCAGGTTGATTGCAGCTTAGCTTGAGCTGCTTGGAAATGTGTGGCAACGACAATTCGAAAAATTAATAATAATAACAATGTTGTCGGCGTTATGAATAAATAAAATCAATTTCGAGTATTCGGAGGAAAAAGCAACGATGATGTCTGAAATATTATCTGGCGGGGTGGGAGTGTGCGGCCTTAAAGGTTTTCTTTCTTATCCACTTTATTACTTTATTTTCTCTTGTTCGTCTTGCTCCTCATGTTCTTGCCACTCGACGTATGTACATACATACGTACGTATGATGTCGGTGCGAATGTGTCCTACACAGATTCAGTGGTGGAGGATACCACGACCCCATCGTAGATGGAACGGGGGAGTCGTAAGGCCATTATCGTTTATATGTCTATATAAACAACACAACAGTATCAAGAGCAATAACAAGATGAGAAGAAAGAAACAAAAACCAAAAAACAAAAAAAAAAAAAAAAAAAACGTCGGCTCATAAATAAAATTAAATGTTATTTTATTTATATGGTCTTATGTTAACAAGACATCTAAAAATGAATATGGCCTTAAGGTTGTGTATTTTGCGTGTAAAAGAAATATTACTATCATTTGGCTTGTAGCGAACACACACACACACACACATGCATACATGTGTGTCGGTACATGTGTACGAGCATGCACGCAAGCAAGCAGCTCTCAGCTGAAATGGTCAGCCAGTGACGATTATTATGCTGTCACTTTAATTGTTCTAATAATTTCGTAAATGCAATGACACGTCTCGCAAGAGCGACAAAGCAAAAAGGACTCTCAATTGTTTGTGTGTGGATTACACACACACACATACAAAATCGTTTCAATTGTTTCAAATACCATGCACCGGGGCCATATGCATATTTATCGTTCTAAAATATGGCACCATTCTGTATTTGTCGTGTTTGCATAGCCCGACGCGATCGACCTACACAAACACATTTTCGGTCCGAACACAAATAAATCATGGCACATGGCCATTGATGGGGTGTAGCATCTACGATCATCTAACAGCTTATGAATGAACTTAGCGAGATACTTACTTCCATACAAATAGTGATGAAATCAATACGACCAGAACTAAGAGCAGGGAGAATACGGCAATCATTGCTGATGTCTGCAGGGACTGGCTACTGTAGAGACTGGCATCGAGGATCTGCAAAAAGACAGAGAATATATGTGAAAATGGTTAAAAATGTGAAAATAGAAAATAAAACTTTGTTTTTTTTGTCGTTTCGACGCAACTATAACATTTGGTCGACTGATGCCGAAACCAACGGTCACCTGGGAAATGCTAGAAATAGGCGTATGGAAATTTTAAAGTCGTTTCGATCTCCCCAAAGGCAGCCCACAATCATTCGGTGAATGGTGTGGAGGGGGTTCCTCTTTTTCTTTCACTGGAAAACTTTATTAATTTCCCAATACTTAATAAAATTGATTTATTCGGTTTTGGGTTGGCGGCAATCGCCGTTCAAAATTAACAACTTATTGTGTAAACACAAGTGACATATATTCAATGTCTTATCGCGGTACAGTGAGGCTACTGTAAACGGGAGGAGAGCGAACCCCGTGACCCTATCCAATGGTGGTAATTAATCATTTCAATCGCGAACGGGATCTCGAACAAATATTTAATTTATTTATGGGACACATTGCCGTGCATTTATTGCCCAAGCCACACAGGCGGACATCGAATAGCCGGCGGATAACAATTAATCGATCATATACGCCTACCGCAACTATCGTTAATACTTTCAAAACAACAAAATGGAGGAGCCGGAGAGGGTTGAGTTCCCCGACATACAACAATGACTACTTGGCTTGGCTTTGGGTAAACATGATCCCATTTCACGTTACGTTGCTTTGCTCGTCTTATCTATGGGCCAAGGCAAACAAGCCCCGTTTTGGCTGCAGCGTGTAACGGCACCAGGACCGATTACACAAAGGGCCACGATAATGTTGCACACCGCCGCCGAATGGAACATTTCAATTGTTTTGTCAATAAACCATTTTTGGTTTTGTTTGCCTTCTTTCCGATGTCATATCGTTATCACTAGTCGAGCATATGACTGGGCCCTTTCTTGTCCGATTACGACGTTGGAAATCTAGATTTCACCACGTAATGGAAAATTGACTTGAAATCGAAGTGTTCCACCTCTATTCCCAGGGCAATAAATCAAAAGTTCAAGCAATTTCACAGAACTTTCGTTAAAGAGTTGTCCTGGATTGTTGAATTTTATTCCGGAGCTGCGATTGATTGCCAGTCATAAATGAGAGACTTTTTTTTCGTTTGTCTGTTTTGGAGGAAGGATAATTTTAGTGGATAACACTAATGACACAGGCTGCCAAGCTGTTGTTTCTTCCTTCCCATCAAAAAGAGATACTGGAAAACGAACACCCCAAATAATCAAAGGCATCAACAGCTCGTCACCGTTGATACGTGGATACGCAACAGAATTGATTGCTCGAAAATTATGATTTGGGAATCGAAATGACTCACAGAAGCTGCGAAGTACACGGTGCCCTATGAATTAAGAAATGATTTGCAATGACTTCCTCTATGCCGTGCGGGATTGGCACAACTACCTCTACGCATACAGATGTATGTAAATGTATGTATGCAGGCATATTCCTCTGTGTGAGGCAAATCGTCAACCGTCAACATCTAACGAAAATATCAACATTTTCAAGTTTTTGGTTTTGTGTTCGCTCAAATCAAACCTAACAAAGGCTAGGGGCTAGGCTAGATTATGTAGACCACGTTGGGGAAATTGTTAACAGATGTTGTTGTTGGCGTGCGTGCGTGTGTGTGTGTGCGTATTGTTTCGTTGTCGCTGATTGTTGATGGGCAAAAGAAATGATTTTTGCCAAACTTTTTGACAACTCAACTCGAAGATTTATTAACGTTTTCGCAGGGGTTCATAGTTCTTGTCGTCGGAAATTGTCTTGACAAATATTAGTTAATATGACAGCTGTCACACTTGAAATGAGAGGCCAAGATTTATGGCCGAATGGATACAATAAAAATTAACCGCGATATGAGTTGTCCCTCGACACATCCTACACACTCGCCTTGGATGGTAATTGGAACAGATGGGTTGGTGATTACCCGTATCTGTGGCAAAGTTTCAGCGAGTGTACTGACGTAACAACCCCAGATTCAACCCATTCCTTCATTTTGTTCAGGAGTCAAATAACTTACCGGTATGGCTTCGCACATATCGTTATCCCAGGCTTGTTGAGCCCGTAGCGCCATCTCCTCTTCGTTGCAATTGGCCGAGGCTTCGTAGACGGCCATGGATGGTGGTCTGGGCGGTGGTGGTACCATGAATTTTGGCGGTGGGCCGAGAGCACCACCACACTCGCTGCATTCTATGATATCGTCAAACATTTTCCACATTTGAAAAAACCAAAGCGATTAGGTGTTGGGCGGGCGAAATCAAATGCGTGTTGCAACACAAGAAAACAATAAATGGAATTGAAAACTAAAAGAAACGACTCGGAAATTACACTCTTTAGAGTCTTGTCATATTTTGCACATTTTTTCGGCTGTCGGCTGCGTGGCTGGTCTGAAAAGAGGAAAAGAATGCATATGTTAGTATGTGGATATCTTCAGCGCCAGCTGTTTTTCTTTTCTAATTCGAATGGAAATTGCATGTCCTTTTGTTTGGACATGGTCGGCCATTCTTCGCACAGTGAAGAGTAACATCATCTGTCCCAAGGACAGAGTGGACATCTTTATTTCTACTACAGAAAACAATCCTCAACATATGTTAATTAAAACGATTGTCCTTTACTTCGGGCCCCGTTGAGTTTCCAGTCGAAGAAAGTGATACCCACCCTAGCTGGGGGAAAACAACCCCCGTTCTTGCTTATTACTCATGGCACATAAACCCAAAACTCAATCATTTGACAAAAAAAGTCACTACCCGTGGCCAAAGGGACTGCATATGGTCGGCCGCTACACGTCAGGATCTTCGAATCGTACGTCTTCACTAAGCCTCCTCAAAATGTTGTACAAATGCTCGTGATTCGGGCACTGGCTGGCATTTGAAGATTAAGAAATGATATTTTGTAATCATCTTTAAACAAACACCGAACAAAAGCAAATATCCCACATATCTGCGAGACGGTATCCAGGGCTCAAGCACAACACAAATGGAAATATGAATGTGTTTTTGTATCTTTGTTTCTTTCTTTGAGAAGCCAACAAAAATAAACACACATATTTTTCTTATAAACAAATCAAAATGTCCGTCTGTGCGTGGATGTGTGCGACTCCACAATGACAAGCATCTAAATGGAGCAGCCCATTTGGAGAGAAAAAGAAACGAAGGAACCAAGTCGGCACAGCATACAAATCGATTTGTTTTCAGATTAAGTCATGATGATGAGCATATTATGTGACTTTAAGCTCCCTTAGGATACTCCAGAACCACTCGTCGCACACAGACACATACACATGCACTGGCATGCCAGCGAATTCACCCTGGGACCCCAAGAGCCCCAAGAACGAGCTACAAGTATTCCAGCCAGACAGACAGACAGACAATACAGTGCCGGTTGTTGGCCCGAAATTAATCAATTCTAAAAGGTATGCCAGCCTGGGCTATCAAGATGTTGTGTTCTTAATAAACACACCCGACAATGGCATGAGAATGGAGGGTGGAGAGTGGAGGCTGGAAGATGAGACAAAAGAGGCAGACGCAACGAAGCCAAGTCAAAGCACAGAAAAGAATAAAAGATAACCAATTAGGTAATTGGCGACGACATTTAAAAGTGAATCTCTTCAGCTTGGAGATAGTCGGCACTATTTTTTGGAAAGGGCCCTCGTGTGCAGCGTTGAAGGCATCTGTGGATGCGATCCAGGGCTACATCTGTCTCCGGGATTTCCTTGCTAGACTCCCAATTAAAGTGGCTTGTTTGGCTATTCCTAACAATACTCGACATGTCATAAATTGGTTTCACTTTAAACAAAATGGTTTTCATTTAATTGATTCTTTTCGATCGCATCTAGAGGTGACTCGAAACACCCTTAAAAACGAACGAACTGAGGAATTTGAACAAAACAAATGTTTTTTGCTACTTTCCACAAATGATTAATCGAAAACTTGGTTCGAAGCGAAATGCAACCGCATCTCGATTATATTCTTTGGTTCGTCGAAGCCGTGACTACCTGAGTTCTCGATGGTTAAATTGAAACGTCAAGCGGTACACGAACAAAAAATATCAAATTTACCGACTTTTTAATTAAGTCATTGGCTGTTCTAAAACTGAGCACGAGAGGAGTAACCCAAGTGGGAACATCAACACACACACAAACACACATACGCACTTTTACAGGGAGCGAGCTGGCTATTATTCGCATTAAGACAGATCGCTTGAGGCCAGTGGGGAATGTTTGCTTTTTAAATTCATTTCCATTCCACGAATTGTGGCGGCTGAAATCAATGAGTGCCCCTCCCATTCGAATGGGCGAATGATTTGCGTCTGGATGCCTTCGAAAGGAAGTGCGTTCTAGGTTCCCAGGCCAAGTTCTCTTCGTTTGCTAGCTGTTCAATTCAATTTTAATATTTTAATAAAGTCATAACTTTTATGTCTTTCTATATGAGTTCTTTGTCATTCCGATGCGAACGAGCCCTGCATACTAATGCTCCTTCATGTCGTTTTTCGGCTCCAAAAGGAAATTATGCTTAGATATGTTCTGGTAGATATGAGAAAGTATCTGTTACAAGCACGTTTCAATCGAACATAAACCTGTCTGTCCGTCCGTCCGCCCGGCTGTCTACATGTGTCTGTAACTCTACCTGTGCAGGAGACAGACTTATTACGGAGCAATCGAACGTTATCCCCCCAAAAGTGACTGTTTCAGAGCTGAGCGATTAACATCGATGCGTACACATGTATTTACATGTGTACACCCAAACCGAAACTGCTCGGCTCCATGATTTATGCATGAATAAATAAATAATGGCTAAACCAACGAATGGATAACGTTGCGACTTTGAAATGAAAACGCCCGAAACCAAAGTCAAAATCAAACAAGGCAAGGGGTTCCAGCTACCCAGCCGTACAGTTGATGTTGCTTGAGCGATGCAGCTTCCTTCAGGCAGCGTGGAGATAGCTAACACACCAACGTGATAAAGCCATGTCCCTCTGACAGATAGTAAATCCGACGACTCCTAATGATTTTTAAATAATTCTATTAACCAGTTGGTTGGAGCCCGACCACGGCGACTATCGCCGTGACGAATGTGAGGCTGGGGACACTTGTTGCTTTTGAAACTGGTATTGAAGCGACAATTGCTTAGACAAATTAACTTTGCTCGTAAGCATATTCCTCCTGGTGTGCCTAAGACCTCTGCAAACAGCGGCGCAGTTGCCTTTGGCGGAGCAACATGACCGACGGCATGTAGAGGTCTCTTCTATGTAGGTGAAGTGCGTAAAAGCTATTCGTTCCATTCACTTGTCATAATTAAAGCAAACATTCATCCAAGAGTACTTGGTTTGAAATACAAATGGAACTTCGGCTTTTATTTGGGTTAAATGCATCCGCAGAGGAGGGGAGAGATGTGGTAATTCTGGGCTAATATTTGCTCTGGCAAACTGCTATGCCAGATAAAAGTGGCTCGGCATCCAAGTCAAATGTCTTAAGTGTGCCAGCGGATTTCGAAAGCTTGACGCATTATTCGCTTTTGTTTGTTCTGCTGGTGCGATAACCAAGAGTGACAACAAATACAACGACCGCCGCAGCAGTAGTAGAAGTTGAATCGAGAACTAAACAACTGTTTTGCGATCCCGTTGGCAAGTACTTACTTTGGAAATGGCGGCTCGGTAAGCGTTGTATCCTCTTCGCGATGTCCCAATGTAAACAAAGTAATCCAAGTTTTGAGTTTATCAGCTGGTAGGTATTTAGTTGTTGGTCTTAATTCGTTGGCAATAACACTGGCAATTATTATTTCGTTATTCTCAATACGTTCTCATCACTAAGCCTTTTTGTGCACACACTTCTTCATTTAATTTCCAAATAAATCACTCAATTTTTTTTTCATTCGAACTATCAAATTGCACGCTGCGAATGTATTTTCCGTAATTATTTGCTGGTTTCACAGATGCGTATGGGTCGTGGTATTTGTTTATTTTCAATTTTCTTATTTATATTTCACGTTTAAATTTTTATTCGAAATGCGAGCGGAATCAACGCGTCCATACGTCTTCATCCGGCGACTGGCAGTTTGATACTGTTTGATGAACGTTTACCAAGCGAGAGTCATACAAACGACTGAATTTCGACTTTCCTGTCTGCTGAGTTGTGCACGTTCGTGAGAGAGAGAGAGAGAGTGTGTGTGCCTGTTTGTTTTGCGGCTGTATGTGTGTAAGTACATTTTGTATCAAAGCCTCTGACAATGAACCCTCGTCCGTGCGGAGGAAACAATGGTTGGTATTTTGGTGAGTTGAGGCCTTATTTTATGCCTGCACATAACCACGAAATGGGAATTAGAATCGCATTGATACCAGACGGGGTTTTCGTTTGGAAATACTCATAACATGATTGTCGATTTTGAGGCATCAACTGACAATGAGCACATAGCTACAACATATTTAAATATTTTTTAGACTTAAATTCCATTTTTTGTGGCCCGATAAGAAGGCCTTGCTAAAAATAAAGTCCGCATCTGAGCGAATTGGAATAAAAAAAATTAACAACAAAATACATTGTTTGAGAAAGCAAACGGATACAAAATATCTCCCACACACACATACGCACACATTAGTCCTGTTTAGTGTTTCGGCCAGGTAAAAATGTTTACTACAACAGGCCTCATCAGTGAATTCGGAATGAACTCCCTGTGAGAGTAGTGTCTCTCTGCTCTCCCAAAAAAAGTTTTCTGTCATAGAGACGTGAGCACAAAGAGAGAATAACAGATGACGGAGATTTTTTTAAAATATAATTGAGTTGTCTGTGTCTGGTACATGTTGTTCTTGGTTTCATCCATGAATGACTGTGAGTGAGTGAGTGCGCCTGGGTGTTTGCTTGCTTGTGTCTGTATGTCATAAAAGTATTAAGGGATATAAAAATATAATTTCTTGTGGTTTCCTTTTTTGCTTGTCCACTAGAAATGCATTTGCAGCAGCTAGGCACTGTAATTTAATTGGTAACTTCCCTTAGAATTTTCAAAGCAGGAACAAACCAATGTTTACAGAATATGCTCGGTACAAGCAAACAAAAACCCAAACGACAACGTGGTTTTATTCGAAAACGTTACTACTATTGATTTGGGGCCCTAAGTTCCGTCGTTCATCCGTATTCTGCTCAACCTAACGTTCGTATGTGGTCGGGGGGAAATAGAGCTGTGACTTTATTGCAAATCCAACATCATGCCGATGGTTATGATCAAGGTCAATGTCTCTCCAGACGCTGCATCACGGAATCAAGCTAAAAGCCAAACTGTCAACCAACAGCAACAACAATCCACTATCGCAGCATCCCAGACTGTCAGCCAAACAACAGTCATGCAAATGTTTGCATTCCCATTCAGTATTTCCTCCAACATTCATAAGAACTGAGAACACTACAGCTGTTTCTGAGAGAGTCCCCAATAAAAGCCAGAACGACTCGCTCCCCAAAATAAGAGGAGTTCATTTCGCGAATGAACTGTAGAAACATGTTTAGGCAACATGTACATATGTTCGTATGCCTGGCTGTGGGAATGGCCCCCAACATGTATCTGGGTGGTGGCTGGCTGTGCTGTGCTTAGACGTTTCATTCAATGAATGCCCCAACGTAATAAGATGAGTGTTTTGTTTTCTTCTCTTCCAATTTGTTATCAGCTACATGCATTCATACATATGCATGTACATATATCATATAACACCTCTCTTGCACTGGTAATTTGTGTGCTCCGCATGTGCGATCGCCTTAATTTGTTTATTTTCCAAAGTGTGAACCGACACCACAAAAAAGGCCAAGGAAAACGTATTAAACAGCATTTAGCAGGCCAATTCATATCCATTTATTCTGCTTTTGTTTCCAATAACTTATCAATGGATTTCAACACTTTCCAACGCAGAGAGTTCTCTGGGCTTCATATCGGATGAGATATATTCCAGATAATGTTTGGCGTTCGTTCGCCCTGTCTAGCATCTTGCAACAAACAGTTCGGTGTCAGTTCGTTCATTCTGTTTTCGAAACAATTTCACTATCACCTCGATACAAGTGTTGTTTATTTTGAAAACGACAGATTTGTTTTCGTTTGCAACAAGGATGACAACAACAAAGCACAGTGGCATGGTGTTAATTAAAAAAAAAAAAAGAAAACAACTTATGCCTCGGCAATTACATCTTAAATACAAAAACCAAGTTGAAAATTCATTGTTGGTTGCTAACCGAATCGCGATGAAAGTTTCGTAGCAGAGTTTGCCATCAGATTTATTACTGTGACTAAAATCTCCCCTGAAAGGAAGCGTCTACGCACCCACACACTCCCAAGTGATAACTAACCACCAACACATTTACTCAGCGCAAGATGCACTGCAAAAATAAAGCAATCTACCAACCTCACTCCCCCTTAGGGACGCTCCCACCCCTAAGGTTCGTTACATGGCGTTACTGTTCATTTGCCAGCCGAGTCGTCAGGCTCGTTTCCGAATTACAACAAAACGAAATTAAAAAATAACAATTTACGAGCCGTACAAAGGCAGCGATCGACATGAGAAATCAATTTTAATTCGACTCCTGTAAAGCTATGGCCGAAAAACAAGTGCAAAACACCCTTAACATGCTGCAACTTCCTACGCAGGCGGGGAGAGTAGTCTTGCTTCGTAAAGACAGTCTAATAGGCCAGCATGCAAGGGAAAGTAGCTCCCTTAGCCCAGATTGCATTATGAAGAGGTAACTGATTGTGGTGTTACTGCGGCCAAGGTGTGAACCAGTGTCAGATCTCGCCGTGGGGACATCACCGCTCGCACCTTCCCATTTCGCATTTAAATATTTGCTTTTCTCGTTGTTATTGTTTGATTTTTGTTCGTTGTTTGAGAGCGAATGTGAGCACACATCCTGTGTAGTTTCCAACTAAAATGTAAATTCAAGTGAAAAGGATAACAATAACATTGTATTTAATAATGCACGTGTACAAGGCCAGGCGTGTGAATATGTAGATATCCAAGGACTATACATACTCTACATGTAGTTGGGTACCCCTGGCGGAGACAATGCTGGCCAGGATTTATCACATGTCATCTAACACTTGAACATTCTAGTTAGTCCATGAGGCTTACCGGTCGGTCTGCAAAGCTACAAAAGCAAACGCAGTATTAGGATAGGCAACAACACTTAGTGCCTACAAACAGGCACTACGACACGGAGACGGCGATTGCATTTAATGTAGGTAATTCCGGAACTGCATGCTCCTGCATATTTTTCTAACATGGGTATACCCACAGATAGATATATATTTGTTCGCATGGGTGTATGGTGAATATATGTCTTATGCCATATTTTGAAATGATAACATGAAGGGCATCTCATTGCTACGTACATAAGTGTCGCCAAGTGCTTTAAGAAATGTACCTCACAATGGCTTTGTTCCATTCGTGGTATTTACAGGATATTGCTCTGCCTCTGTTTGTAAAAAACCCACAATAGATCTGCGATCCTTACAGACTGGGGCATATTGAATGTTTTGAAGTTGTTTCAGCTGACACTACTGATTTTGAAAAAAAAAAAAGAAACCGAAATATGCATATTTGATTTAGATTACCAACCTTTTACAAGGTCCTCCTCCAACCACCACCAGAAAAATGGCTGTGACCAGTTGGTTGTATTCAGTGACAAACATCGGGATTATCCCTTGCCATTATTAATTACTATACTTGTACGAATTTGTTGTCATTCAAACTCAGTTTGCACCAACAACACGAAAGAGATTCATTCCATCATCATCATTCAACAACAATTCAAGGATAAGCGGACCGTATGAAAATTCATATATTCAGCGAGTGAATAGCCGTTTACCAGCAAACGTCCGAATTACAATAGAGTCATACATATTGTCACATGTACACTCGTATGAATGTATGAATGTATGCATATGTATGTATGTGTGTGGCATGCATGTATTCATAGGTTTTGAACACACTACGAATACACAAACCCACTCTATTTGTTACAACAAATTCAAGGTGTGTTCTGGTTAAAAGGATAAATTTAGGTTAACATGTAAATTCAGTGTCCTTCATTTTCGGTTGGATTCGGATGTGCGTCAGAGTGTAAGGATCATATTTGTATATGTCACATGCAGGATTATGTTTTTAAGCTGCACACATGAACACGGACGATGAAATGAACAATAACTCAGAAGGATTTATTCCGGCACTTAAATATATAAACAAATTGTTTGGAAAAGTAATTGTTTGCTCCCGGCTTCCGTGGCTTTGTCCCATGATGGCTTTGGTCAGTGATACAATTAATTTGCTGGGAGTGATACCCCGATATCCGGCTGCGCCAATATTTTTATGAAATATCCAAAAAAAGGTGTATGCGACGCAAATCTACTAGTCTTTGTTGTTAGAATAAATTGAGAAATAAAGCATCTCAGCATATGGACCTCAAGTACAAGGCTCTGAATAGATGGAAACCATAACCACATCCATATAAAATACTTTTTTGTCCCGAGTATCACAATAACGGTCTTAAACCCAATGTCTCAAAGTTGCCCAAACCTCGGACATCGAAATGTCCAGTCTTTCCTGTGCCTCAACCACAAATGGTTCAAAATTTAAAAAAAAAAAAATAAGGAAAATGTATATAACAAGAAGGTGTATTGAAAAGTCATAACCCTCGTAAAATAATATCTAATCTAATATCGAAATATTATCTAATTTTAAGCCTTATATCTACTTCGCATATCGTTATGTTTGGATTAAACATAGGACAGACACCAAAGTTGAATATTTTATTCCCTTTGCTAACTCTACCAAAAAGAATTAAGATCTGATAGGTCATGAATCTCACATCCTACGATGGGGACCACACATTACAATACACCAAGTAAGATCCGATAAGAAGTTGGATTATATCGACGCACTCTTCCGACACATCCTTTGAATGTGCTTAGATGTTATTGGAGTTTTAAGGCTATGAATGGGCTTAATCGAAATTCAAGTTCGAAACCTTTCAGACCGAAGGCAGTGTCCGAAACACATCGTATTGTTTGTATGCCTTGGTTTCATCCTTTGGCCTCCATTGACCGGGTATAATGCCAATCATACAAATTTCAAACAAATCTAATGAAAATGGTTCCCCCGAAGTAGTCTTGTAACTCCCACAAAAATTACACTGCTTCAAATCAAAAGTTAAAA